AAAACCTTTTAATAATAAAACCTCTTATCTATAAGACCTTATCAACATTTTTCCTCAAGAACTTTCATCTTTCATGAGGCCTCTTATCAACAAACATTTTCATAAGAACCATCACCAAAAAGATCTTTTATCAACAAAACCCCTTATCGACATCATCTCTTATCTAAAACATCCCTTATCGGCAAAACCTCTTACCTAAAACAACCCTTATCTAAAACACCCTTTTTCAAAAACGTCCCTTATCTTAATATACCCTTTATCAACATTACTTATCATAGCAGCTCGTATCAACAGCATCCCTTATCTTATCTTAAACAACTTATCAACAAGACCCCTTACCTTAAACCCTTTTCAAAAATATTTCGTACAAAGACCCTTTATCTTAAAATACCCGTTTAATCTTAAAAAACACCCCTCAAATACCCTATACGCTTCCCTAAGAACAACGTTATAAAACGAGATCCCCTATAATCTAAAACAAGTTATACCCCATACTTAAAATCCACTAACCTTAAAATGATAAGGAAGGTTGACCGGTGGATTGTAGCGACGTACCCTTATAAATACACTCTTATCCAAGCCCCAAGGGAACCCTTACTTAAAATACCGGATTACCTTTTTTAAAACACCCCTCTCTAAAATAACCCTTACCTTTAAACACCCTTACCTTAAACACCCCTTCACCCCAAAACAACCCTCACAGCTTAAAGACACCCTCACGTTTAAAAGAAGGAATCCCTTACTTAAAACACCCTCACCTTAAACGCACGCCATACCCTAAACAAACCCCTCACGTAACGCGCCCCCGCCTGGTGTTTCTGTCCCCCCCCGACCCTAAAGAAACACCGCCCATCACAAGACTTGAAGAAACTCCCTCCTTAAAACACCCTCATCCCCACAAAGAAAAAACCCCTCAACTACCTTAATGGCACTTACATCAAGGACGACCCGTACTCGAACAGCGTCAGGAGGGACAGGGACGATGCACATGAACATCCACACAGAACGTCGACGGCCTTCACGTAGCTCGTCTCGGGCTGATCTGCCTGTGGAGGGAGAAGGAGGGGGGAGGAGGGGGGAGGTGGTGAGGGGTGGTGATGGGAGGAGGGGGTGGGGTGGTGAGGGGAGGGGAGGAGAGGGGTGAAGTGGTGAGGGGAAGGGGGATGGGGGGGAAAAGGGAGGGAGGGGGTGAGGGGATGGGAGGGAGGGGAAGGAGGGAAGGGGTGAGGTGTTGAGAAAGGAGGGGTGGGATGGTGAGGGGATGGGAAGGGAGGGGAGGGAGATGTGGTGAACGGAGCGAGAGGAGGAGGGAGGGGAGGGATCGGAGGGGAAGGAGGGAGGGGAGGGGAAGGAGAGGGGTGGTGAAGGGATGGGAGGGGAGGAGGGGTGAGGGAAGGAGGGGGAAGGAGGGAGGGGAGGAGAGGGTGAGGGGAAGGGGGGGGAGATGAGTGAGGGGGGAGGAGGGGAGGGGAGGAGGGGGAGGTGTGAGGGATGGGTTTGTGGGGGATGGAGGGGAGGGGAGGGATGGAGGGGAGGAAGGGAGGTGGTGAGGGGATGGGAGGGGAGGGGGAAAGGGGTGAGGTGGTGAGGGGGAGCGAGGGGAGGGGGGAGGGGAGGAAGGGAGGGGAGTGGAGGGGGGAGGTGGTGAGGGGAAGGGGAGAGGGGTGAGGTGGTGAGGGGATGGGGGGAATGGAGGGAGGGAAGGGAAGAGTGAGGGGGGAAGGGAAGGGAGGGGATGAGATGGGAAGGAAGGGAGAAAGGGGGAAGGTGGTGGGGGGGATGGGAGGGGAAAGGGGGAAAGGGAGAAAAGGGAGGGAGGGGGATGAAGGGGTGAGAGGGAAGGAGGGGGAAATGGTGAGGGGAAGTGAAGGGATGGATGAGAAGGATGGGGATGGGAAGGGGTGAGATGGGAAGGTGGTAAGGGGAGGGAGGGGAAGAGGAAGATAAGGGAAGGAGGAGTGATGAAAGGGAAGGGGGGAGGGGGAGGAAAGGGGTGACGTGGTGAAGGGAAGGAGGGGAAGGGAAGGGGTGGGGTCGGGTGATGGTGGGATGGGAGGGGACGGAAGGGAGGAGGGGAAAAGAGGGAGGAGTTAGGTGGTTAGGTGAGGGATGGGAGGGAGGGAGGGAGGTAAGAAGCTGGAACGAGGGTAAGGTGGTGAAGGAAAAAGAGAAGGAGAGAAAAAGAGGGAAGGAGGAATGAAGTGATGAGGGAACAGGGGAAAGGAGGGGCAGGAAGGAAGGAAGGAAGAGGGGAATGAAAGGAAAGAGAAATGAGGGAGAGGAAAGGAAAGAGAGAAGCGGAGGAAGTATAAACTGATGAGAGGGAGGGAGGGAAGGGGACGATAGGGCAGAGAAAAAGTGAGAAAGAAAAGAAAGAAGAAAGAGAGATGGAGAGAGGGAGAGAGGAGAAGAGGGAGAGAGGGAGAGAGAAGAAGAGAGAGAGAGAGAGAGAGAGAGAAGAGAGGAGAGAGAGAGAGAGAGAGAGAGAGAGAGAGAGAGAGAGAGAGAGAGAGAGAGAGAGAGAGAGAGAGAGAGAGAGAGAGAGAGAGAGAGAGGAGAGAGAGAGAGAGAAGAGAAGAGAGAGAGAGAGAGAGAGAGAGAGAGAGAGAGGAGAGAGAGAGAGAGAGAGAGAGAGAGAGAGAGAGAGAGAGAGAGGAGAGAAGAGAGAGAAATAGGGAAGAGACATACACACACACGAAGAAAAACTCCCAAACCCACACCTCAAAGACCCAAGACCCATAAAAAGAAGAAAACAAAAAGAAAAATAGAAAAATAGTAGAAAAAAATTAAAAAATAAATAATAAAATAAAATAATAAAATGAAAAAAAAAAGGAAAAGTTTTAAAAAAATCAAAAGTAAAAAAAGAAGAAAAAAGAAAAGGAAAAAGCAAAAAAAAAAAAAAAAAAGTCAAAAGCCAGAAAAATAAGAAAAAATCCAATAACAACAACAATAATAAAAATAAAACAAAATCTACCCCCCCCCAAACCGAAAGACCACCTCACCTAACGGCCGTATGCATGGAGATGAGCGTCAGCAATGACGTAATCACCAGCACGGTCCGCCCGGGGATGACGTCAGCGGGCCAGAACAGCGATGCCCAAGAGACGGCGACGAAGAGACCGGAAGGGAGGAAGGTGCCAAGGAGGTGCCCCAGGACCTTGCGCGTAAGGACGAGAATCGCCTGCACGCATGGGGCTCTTGCTGTTAGGGTTGAGGGTAGGGTTGGGGTGGGGTGGGGGAAGGGTGGGGAGAGGGGATGGGGGTTGGTGAGGGAGGAGGGGGGTAGGAGTGTTGGATATGTGTGGTGTGTGTGTGTGTGTGTGTGTGTGTGTGTGTGTGTGTGTGTGAGAGAGGAGAGAGAGAGAGAGAGAGAGAGAGAGAGAGAGAGAGAGAGAGAGAGAGAGAGAGAGAGAGAGAGAGAGAAAGAGAGAGAAAGAAAAGGAGAGAAAGAAAGAAAGAAAGAGAAAGAAAGAAAGAAAGAGAAAGAAAGAAAGAAAGAGAAAAAAAGAAAGACCACCAAAGGGGGGTTATGGAAGAGAGAGGGGGGGGGATGAGGAGGAAGGCGGATGTGAGTGGATAAAGTGAGGGTGAAAGTGATTTGTTGTTTTTGATGAGGGAGTGTGTGATTGCCGGTTTTTGTTGTTTTATTGTCTTGTTTGTTGTATTTGAATGTGTTGTATGGAGAAAAAAAAATGGAAAAATTAAGAAAATGCAAAATTTACAAGCAAAGCATATAATCAATTCAATTGAATATCATCTTTCTTATTAATGATAATGAAATAGCACAAATTCCAAGAAAATGCAAAAAGAAATAGAAAAAAAACAAATGATAAAAGAACGAGAGAGAGAAAAAATAAAAAACGAAAAAGGAAAAAACTTAGAAAACAATCAAAAGAAAATTGAAAAAAATTTGAAGACAAAAAATAAAACAAAGAAAAAGAAAAATAATAGAGAAAAAATTCGGACACAGTTAAAGACAGAGTAATAGAAAATATATATAATAATTCAGACACAGCGTCTTTTAAAATTACAAACAAAAGATAAGGGCATTAATGGTTTTATTCCGAAATCAAAAAATCAACGAAAAAAAGTCAAAGTACAAAAGTCAGAAATAACAAATAAGGCAATTGCAATAACTCTGCATAAGGTTCAGCAAATACCGCCGAATATATTTTGCGGGAATATTCTGACGAGTGGACTGGCTATCAAATTCTTGACTTTGAAATTTCGTCTGTTCTCTTTCATCCTTGTTTAATCACGTGATCTTTTAACCTTGCGTTATTCGTGAGCCTCTTATTTCTGGCGAGGACTTCTCTCAGCTCTCGATACCTTTCAAGATCTTTCAATACTCTGTCTGTCTGTCTCATTTCATCTTTCACTCTCTCCTGCCTCTCTAACTCTCACTCCTCCCTCTAACTCTCTCTCTCCCATAACTCCTCTCTCTCCTCTAAATCTCTCTCTCCCTCCCTAAACCTCTCTCATCCCTCTAACTCTCATCTACTCCCTCTAACTCTCTCTCTCCCTCTAACTCTCTCTCTCCCTCTAACTCTCTCTCTCCCTCTAACTCTCTCTCTCCCTCTAACTCTTAACTCTCTCCCTCCTAACCATCTTACTCTCTAACTCCTTACTCTCTAAACTAACTCCCCTAAACTAACTCTCTCCTTCCTCTACTCTAACTTCTCTCCTTCCTCTCTACTAACTCTCTCTTATCTCTACATAACTCTCTCTCTTCTCTCTAACCTAAAACTCACTCTCTCCTATCAGTAAGAACGAAGAAATAACAAACTTAAAAAACATACAAACTAAAAAAAAAACATAAAACGACCAATAAACAAAAAACAACAACAAAACTAAAACAGACGAAAAAACAAACACACACACCCAAAAACACCGTCCTCTCTCACCCAAAAAAAAAAAAAAAAAAAAAAAAAAAAAAAAAAAAAAAAACACCCCATCCCAAAAAAAAAAAAAAAACAAACCCGCCCTCCTCTCTCACCGGGATGCACGGTAACACCGCCGCAAGGACCCGTTGCGCTCGTGTATGGGCCGAAACTCATACTCGTAAGTTGTTGAGCTGGTTTTGCCCACGCGAGGGTCGACCACAGAGCCCCGAGGGAAGCCAGGCCGAGGCGGACTTCTCGAGGGAGTACATTGTCTGGGGAAAGAGGAGGGGAGAGGGGAGGGGGAGAAAAAGAGG